CTAATTAAAGTGCTGCACAGAGCCCCACCCACCCCCTTCTCCCCCCACCCGAGCATGTGTAAAAGTGCCCATGGGTATCTGGCCCTGGAAGGAAGACATATACAGAGACAGACATATACAGGAAGACAGTGTTCTTGACTCCAGACATTAAAAATCATGAGATTGCTTAAAGAGCATGAGCATTTCTGGTTCATTTCTTCTGAGGGCTGAAAACAGATTTTTTATTATTAATAAAAGGCTAAAATCTCCATATTTTCAATTACCATGAGACTCACAATAACATTGCAGGAATTGGTAATAGGCCTGTGCAAAGCTTCGGTAGCCAATTTGATTCGAGAAAATTCAGCCCAGTTTGGCAGCTGAATCTCCAAATCTGAACTGAATTGGGAACCCATCAAAAGGTCCGAATCAAATTGGAAGCATCCAAATCAATTCAGAAAAGATTCAGAAAGATTCAGAGGGCGCGCTTGCAAGAAACAGAAACTGAGAAGAGGGAGGGAGAAGAGGGGAGGAAAGACTGCTTTGATATGGACATCTGAATCTGGCCAGTGACTGTGATCTTTCCCTGAGTTCCCTTCCAATCACAGTACAGTGGGGGAGGCACGTAGGAACAACATATAAGGCTGTGTGTTAGGGCTATGCGAGGGTTTGGAAAGAGCTTCGGATCCAGAGAAGCTTCAAATGCTTTGGGGTCCAAAGCAGCACATCCAGGTCAAGGCACTGTCCTTGTTAGGTTTCCCAAAGTGGTTTGAAGCTTCCAAAGAGCTTCGGAGCCGCCTCGGAGCCACCTCAGAGATCTGACTATAGGGTATAATGGGGAAACAACTTTGTTGTTTTTTGTCTGATTTGGATGAAATTTTCAGGAGTGGTAGAATCTGCAGAGAGAATGAAGCCTTCCAAGGTTCAAGAAGATTGGTGCAGGGGTTTGGAGGGAACAGCACCCCAAATTCTTGAAAGCAAAACTCATGTCACGTCTAGATGTTACAACATAGTGGAGTGAAAACTGCAGGGATGGTGGTTCTTACTGAGGCCACAAAGCCTGCCAAGTTTCAAGAAGATCGGTGCAGAGGCTTGAGGGCAACTGTACCCCAAATTATTGAAAGCAAAACTCCTGTCACATCCATGTGTTACAACATGGGGGGGTCAAAACTGTAGGGGTGGTAGCTCTTACTGAGGTCACAAAGCCTTCCAAATTTCAAGGAGATCGGTGCAGGGGTTTGGGGGGAACTGCCCCTCATGCTGTGGACAAGCAAAACTTGTGCCATGGGTACTTGTGGTACTGACTGTCTCTGTCTTGGGGCAGGGAGGGGAGACACTACTGCAGGCCTGGCTGCTAAGCTGCTGTGTTCCCAGTTACCAATCAGTCAATCATGATTCACTGAGGGACCAGGGACTCAAGGAGCTCAATACACAGGACCTAGCTACTACATAACAACTTAATGAGCATCAATTAGCACCTACAAAACCAGGCAAATGAGAGGAAAGAATTAATATAGACAATCAACTGCCCCAAGACAGACACAGTCTTGGCACGACTTTTGCCCGTCAGCAGTTATAGGTGCAGGGCCCCAGAACCCCCCTGCACTGATCTCCTCCACAGCTGGCAGGCATCGTGGCTGCAGCAGGGGCAACCATCGCTGCAGCTGTCACCCTGCTGCACCTTAACGTGTGCAGTGTCACCCATGGCATGAGTTTTGCTTGTCCACAGGTTGAGGGGCAGTTCCCCCTAAACCCCTGCACTGATCTCCTTGAAACTTGGCAGGCTTTGTGGCCTCAGTAAGAGCTACCACCCCTGCAGTTTTGACCTCCCTGTGGTGTAACACACAGCCATGACATGAGTTTGACTTTCAAGAATTTGGGGTATAGTGTCCCCAATCAGTGCTGTCCAAGAGGTACTGGGAAGGACCCTGGTATTCAGTCTTTGGACTCCTCAAGATCCATGGACCCACTGATCCAGGTCAACAGCTAATTAGTCCCTGTTACAGAGCTGTATCTTACTTCTGAATGATTTCCGGGTATGCCAAACAATTTATAACTTCTGACCTGTGCTGATAACTTACAGCCATTCAGATTCTTTTTACTTCAACTATCCTTAGACTGACCAATAGTAGAACAAGCCTTGCATTCTTCTGATAAGGTTAATTTTAACTACAGGGCCTACCACCACTACTTCTATAAGGCTTTACTCAATTTACTAGGCCTCATACTACATACAAGGCCTCACTACATCTTAGACTTTAATTAGGCTCTTAGCAGCAACATATAGCTTAATATCTGAACAAATGACAGAAAAACACTTGGTCTAATTTTCATAGAGCCTTCAGCAAGCACCTTTATCACACAGACATAATTTTCAGCTGTCGCAGGAGAGCTGCAAGTTTCCCCCACCCCAAACATAGATGCACCCTCTTTCCTGGCAGTAATAAGTCTTCTCCTGCTAGTGGGAGCTAGGAAGTGGGTGAGCTGTCTTCACCTGCACCACCTCCACTAACACCAGTAATAACCACCAGCACCGGCATGACAGTCTCCACCCAAATTTCAGTTCCCATTGTGAGCCTCCCAGTGCCAAAGGAGGAGCTGGGTCTGGAAGCAGAGGAGCTGAGTGCCATAGCTAATGGCTAATGGCAGAAAATTCTGGGGAAAGAGGGAGAATCTGAATTTGTACTCCCCACCTCTCAAAGTTCCCCTAGAGGCAGGTCTCTTCTAGAAGACACTTCAGAGAAGGTTTTGGGGGCAGGTAGCTCAGCTCCTCCTGTTGTTGTGCCTCTGCCTGGTGAGGAGGGGGATAAGGCAGGATCCCTACCCTCAACCCAGAAGTGGGTGGGTAGTGTAGTGTGGGATCATTTTGAGGTGGCAGATGATGCTACCTGCCAGCACTGCTGAAATCAGATCATCCGGGACAAGGATGTGAAGCGCTTCACCACCCTGGCAATGCTGCTGCATCTCAGGAGGCAGCACCCTCTTGCCCTTGTTCCTCCTCAGGCTGGCACCAGTGGGTACACACCCAAAAAGAATTCCTCAACTTGTGGTCCCATCCTACCAAGTGCCCACATGCACCACCTTTAGCAGGATGGTGGTACCCTCCCTGTATGAGACATACAGGGAGTACTTGAAGGAGGATCTGAGGAAGGCAGGGCCACAAGTAGTTTTGCATCTCATCTTGGACGTCTGAAGCAGCCAGGGTGGAGATCATTCTTACCTCTCCCTCACAGGGCACTGGTGCGATCAGCCAGGGCATTGGTGGGTTCTTCTTCGAGCAGAGGTGATGGATGAGTCCCACATGACAAGGGAGATCATGGTGGCCATGAACCATATGGTGTAGGAGTGGCTCACTGGGCAGGTTGAGCTCACCCATGGGTTCATGGTCACCGCCAACGAGGCCAATATGGTGAAGGTGGTGAGACTGACCAAATCAAATTGGGACAGTGACTTGAATCATCGAATTGAATCACTGTCCCTCCACAATGGCCAAATTTGAATCCACATAGAATACTTGCCACTTCATACAGGCCTAATTGGCAACACTAGAAGGGTCTCAATATAATACCTGCTGTATTCATGCAAAAGCAATTATTCCAGTTATCTGTACTTAAAAATGTCCTATCTTCATTGGCAGACAAGGTTCTTTGGACAAATGTGATATCTTCTCTTAGACTAACTAAATAGTATGGGTGTGCAAAGCGGGCCCTATTCGATTCAGATTTGGATTCGGCCCAAATCAGGGATAGTGATTCATTGATTTGGATCACTGTCCCTGGTTTGATTCAGCTGAATCCAAATCTGAAGATTTGATGCTGATTTTGAGAATCAGTGATTTGGACATAGACACAGCTTTCAAAGTTTTTTCTAAATACCTCGAGCATGGCTTGTGAATGCTATGATGCTGGGGCACATGGAGCATACCACCAGGAGTGCAGGGGGGTCTTCCACTTGTTTGGTGGTGAACTCATAACTGGACTGGAATTACTTCCATTCCACTTCCGGGTTCACTGGGGAGTGTGCACAGGGACCCCCTGGCTCAGTGATCGGCTGCGGGGAGGATCCCAAGTGCCCCCCCAGACCCAGAAGGCACCAGTTGCTGAGCCAGGCGAGTGTGGAGGGGCTCACAGAGTGCTTCTGGGCCACTTCTGGGTTTCCTGCCTAGTGTGCTGGAGAGCCCCCCATGCTTCTGTGGAACACTCCATATGCCCCGGCATTGCAGCATTCACAAGCCACCTGCTACCTAGAGGTACACAGAAAAAACATTTAAAGCTGTGTCTATGTCCAAATTGCTGAATCTTTCCAAATCTCTCCAAATCAATTCAGAGGGCTTTGATTCGATTTGGAGAGATTAAAGGGTCCTCTGATTCGATTCAGATTCAGGGATTTGGCCACTGAATTAAGCTGCATCTCCACCAAATTGAATCAAGGACCAAAGCTTCACATAGCCCTACTAAATAGTTGGAAAAAATGTTCTTTGAAAGCTTTTTAGGCACAAACACCCTTCTTCAGGCATAGAGAGGGTCTCCTATTGTTTTGTGTTCTCCTGGATGGAATAGAAGCCAATATGCAAAATGCAAGTCTGTGAAAATGCAACTGTGTGGCAGTGAGGCTCAGAGGCCAGGGGAGACAATAGGTGTGAGACAAGTAGGTGGGGATGGGAAAAGGGGGGAATGTTGACCTGGTGATAGAATGTAGGTGGTAAAATGTAGAGAGGTTACCTGGGTTTACTGAATGGCAGGAAGGTTATAATGTGCCATAAATCTATATTTAGATCATGATTTTTTGTATCCAGTAGATTTATTAAGAGAAGGTCATAGGCTGGTCTACACAGGGAAACCAAGACAGGATTATGAATTATAAATGTACCTCTATGGCCTTCATATGAAATAATTTGGGCAAAGCAATAAATGTACATTTTACTATACTTAAGCTGTTAAATATTCATGAAACTACATATAAACTGTATAATTTTTAATCTTTTAAATCAATACTAAAAATATATATTCTGTATCTTTTTTTCCTAGGGCTGAAGCTTTTTCAGTAATTGAGATGCCATCTTTCTTATAGCAGTATTTTCCTGTTAAACATTATTTATGTGCTTTTCACTGTCCCACTGCTACAGGGCTTCTTGCTTCTATTTCATTTTCATAAGTTTAGTATCTACAGTATCTGGCAACTGCTTAAACAGAGCCAGGTATAAACTACAGCTGTGCAAAATGACCTGACTTCATGTGTGAAACCAAGAGCTTTTTGTCATTGTGAACTCTGGAAGTTTATTCTAGAAGGCTGAGATTCTGGATGAAAGAACACTATCCAATTCAGCTGACTGTGTGTTTTGAAAGAAGGCCATAGGGGGCACAACCAGATGAGCCCACATGTGCCTCTTGCAGTTTCTCAAAGCAGTTTGAGATGCCACAGGAGGAACACTGGTAACAAAAAATGTGTGGCTCAAAATTTGATACCTGGAAATCCAGGTATATAAAAAAAATACCCCATAGAAAAAAAGCAGGGCAAGGCATGGTTCAGCACTGTGACCCAATGCAACTAGGAAGCTGATCCTCAAGAGAGATACTTTGGTTTCTGGCAAGAGTGTCTCAATAGTACTTTGGCTGCCCCAGTATATGGGGCACACACCCTTAGCATGCTGGGTAAGCAGAAAAGTGGGTGACCAGGACCCAGGTGCTGTCCCAGGTAAGTTAAGGTCATGGGGGTAGTGGGGAGTTTATGGGTGTGGCGGGGTGTGATGAGTAGCAGTGGAATGTGGTGGGGGGGAGTGGCAGGGGGTG